GGTCTGATAGTATCTAATTACAAAGCCAAGAGGTGCATATTTCAGTAGAACACTGTGAGATGTTGAAAGATGATATTTTGAGACAGAGAAGGGCATATCAGCCATTGATTTAGGTCAATGAAGCAATTCATTATTGCATGAATAAGATTAGTTGAATGTTATACCTGAACATAGTAAAAATCTTTTAAAATCTCTTATGTGATAAAGGCTGGCATTAAAATTTGGGCTTTTGACAAAGTATTATACAAGCCCATTAATCTTACCAGAAAAAGATTCTGTTTTTACTAGAATTGAGTTGCTCATATAAAGTAAAATAGAGCTGGTTTTCTTTGCTTGCTTGTTTTTTTGTCATTGGAAACAAGTACTTTAAAAGTGCAAATTTGCAGGTGACACCACCATTGAAATAAATTATATATGAGTATGAATATAAATAGATATTCTTTTCACAACAATGAGATTAAAATACGCATTTATACTTCTGTCCAGAGGGAAGATTAGAAAAAAAACAAAAACAACAAAAACATCCCCCGATGACTTTCAAAGTGTTGCTATCACAGTTTTCTTTTACAAGCAAATGAAAATGAGGTTAACAACATGGATATTCCTCTCCCTGCCAAGCTTGTCTACTCGCTTGTACACATGGTCATATACAAAGGCTTTCAGAAAAAAAAAAAAAAAAGGAATTATAACTGTTTAAGAACAACCCCAAGGTCCACCAGTGGTCCTTACACAAGTAGAAAACTGTCAGCTTAGACCACTTCCTCTGCTCTGAATTTGACCAGATCCCAACTGCTGCAAAAATATCCATGATATGAATTTTGGTCCAAAGAACCACTCAAAGTCAGCAAGGCAGACATAAAAATGTCATAAAAGATATTAAAATCTTAGCCTTAGGAAAACAATTCATGACAAATACGCTGAAGAAATAATCTAGTATTATTGTTCCATAATTCATTTTATATTTTTCCCTCACAAATAGGATTGTGAGTGCTATCTACGCAGACTGGAGCATTGGTCAGGGCCAGCATAGATATGTGATTAGCAGAGGAACACGGAATTTTTTTGCTGCTACTTCAGTTGCAATGGGATTTTGAAGCTAGGGTTCAGATACATTGGGGCAGATCTGAGCCCACAGACATCTATGGAAATTTTACAATGTATGAATTTAAAGTACTTTCAGAAGTACCATGGAAACTCCTGGCTGTTACACAATATTTTCAGAGCTATTGAGATGTCTGTTATTATTGTTGTTGCAGCTGTTGTATAGAAAAAGTAAATTCTCAAATACATTTTGAGTGTGAGTCCCAAATATTTCATGATATTTGTGCAGCTCCAGCAATATGCCTTGCTTAAAAAACAAACAAACAAAAACGAAGTTTTTGTTTGAAACAACTTGGAGATTTGTATATTCCATAACATATTTGCTGTTGAGTACTTTCATTGGCTACCAGGATTTCTGTTTAAAAAAAAAAAGCTTCAAAATGTCATATATTAGTGACCTTGTCTCTGCTTTATTGTTTACCACATTTTGTTTCACTGTCTGTATTTTATGTCATATTTCTTGCATTATGATTTCTACATTTAGTTTGTACTGCTCTAAATTTGTTGGTACCCAACACATTGTTTTTTGCTTTATCTTTTTTTTTTTGTTATTTCTGTCTTTTCATCTCCTTTTCAGTCTCCTACATCCCTTCTTTTTGCTCTTTTTTTTTTTTTCTTTTTGTTCTGAGAAAAAAAAAAAGAAAAAAAAAAGGCATAGAAAAGGCAGCTGTTCCTCAATCACTTAGTGGCATCTGTGTCATTAAGTCATGTAGATTATGTTGCTGCTGTTGCTGTCTACTAGATGGTCCCAAGCCAAATTTAAGCTCTTCAGACTGACACAATAAAACATCCTATGACTTTGGATGCTTCTTTGGATGTTGGTAGCACAGTGTTACTAACTTATGAGCTGTAAATGATGCAGAGCACTGAAGCTAAAGCAGGTTTATTTCCATCTGCAGCCTCAAATCTCTTCCTTGACAGTCTTTCTCTATGGACACCTTCTCTGAAGCACACTCTTGGCCCATGTGCAAGAGAATTTCTTAATTTGTTACAAAAAGTTGCTGCCTCTGGCCAAATGGTTTTCATAAGCTTTCAAGGAGAATCCCAGTTAAATATAAGAGAATGGTCAATGTAAGTCACTCCAAATCTTTTGGTTTGTACATCTGTCCAACTTCCACAGCCTAAGCAAAATTTTGTCATGCCCATTAACCTGAGAATTACCTTCTGTTTAAATTCAGCTCAAATTTTCTATGCAAGTATGAGTCATACAAGATGATTTTAATTTGAAGTTTGTTATATTAAATTGTAATATTCATTTTAAAAATTGCCTTTCTATTCATTTGCTTACATTGCTTGCCATTTATTATGTTTTTGCAACAGTTCCAGCCTAGGAAGTTCATTTTCCTAGGAAGGAAAAGCAGAGGGTTCAAACATTATTCTGCTGATTTATTTCAAGAGCATATTCTGTCAATTAAACATTACAGGCTGTAGCTGTTGAATTGGATAGAAAAATAGAAATTAACATAGATTCTCATTAAGGAAAAAAAAACACACACATGTAAATCCCTCTAATTATCTTTATTATTATTATTATTTTTTAATTACCAATGTGGTTCAGGAAAAGGTGAGAGGAAGGATTTTCTCTGGTATGATAAAGTCCTGCCAAGGATAAATTATGTGCACTTTTAACAATGAAAACAAGGTATTTAATAAAATTTCCCTAAAGAATTTTTTAATCATCAATGCCTTTGGTATTTCTTCGCAGAGCAAACACGAGCTTTTCTTCACTGCCATATCAGGGAAAAATAAAGGAATAAGTGTAAAAGCGACCCTGTGTACACACCTTCCACTTGATATCTTTCCAGATTACTTTACAACTTTCCATTTTTCCATGTCTTCAGCTGCTGGTTTGTATGCTACAGGGACACCACAGCCCTGATGCTTTGCTAGATAATGACTGTCTGTATCTCTTCTGCCAGCCCCTGCTGTCTGGGAACAAACAGCATTAAAGATTAGAGCTATGAAGCAACACGAATTTCCATCCTGTTGAATGGTTTTCCACTTCAAAATGTATTTTCACTCCAAAGAGGAGAAAACAATGAGTATGTGAAATTATCTTGTGAAAGAATATTTTAAGACCTCCTTTTGGTTACTTCTGCAAAGGATGAACTCATCTTCCTTCCATGCACAGTTACTACAATATTTGGAAGTGTCTAAGTAGATTAATTGTCTTTTAAGCAGAGGACAAGCTAATCCTTTCACTTGGGATGTGTGAATAATATTCTGGAGAAGAGTCAATTTGCAGTAGAGATATAACAGATTTTCAGCCCAGAAAAAAAGACTAGAGAAAAGTAGCTCTCTTTTTGTAACATTATTTATAACATTTATTTTTTTTCCTAAAATGAAAGCTCTGAATTCTATTCAAAGAGAAATAAATACTGACATACGACAACATGCTTCTTTCCTAGGATGGGAGATGGAAAATAGGTAAAATATCTGCAATTAAACTTCCAGTGATCTGTAAGTGATCTATAAAACTCACGTGTTCTTCTGAGAATTCTTTGCTGTACATTGAACCATGTAGAAATCTTTTTAAATAGAATATGCTTTCAAAGAGACATTTTTCTTCAATTTAAATAGTAAGATAAATCATGACCATATTATTTGACAAAATCTCCAGTGGCTTCTACCCAGTTTTGTCTTTACAATTATTACATGACATGGTTCAAAAGTATCTATACACCCATCAAGCTTTGCTTTGCATAGATTGCTACAGTGCATTATAGGTATCCTTACTTATTATTTTCTAACTTGTGGTTTTACTCCTGAAATAGCACTGAAATAATGAAATTTCCTTTGCAATATAGTATAGATATCCTTGGGAATGTCGTACTAACTTTTAGAAAAGCAAGGATTTTAGCTATTCATTAGTACATACTGTCTTTGATTAGAGCAAAGATTCTCAGGATTTTTTAAAATGTACTGTTCTCTCTTGGACAAAATAACCCCTGTAGTATTTACACTCCATATTTTTCTTCATCGTAGAAATGAAATATGAGGTATAAACTTATACCTATGAAGAATTGGCCTGCATATTACAGGCCAATATTACTTATTACAGCCAATGGAACTGTGTCTCCTAACTGCAGTGGACTTTGATTTGGAGACTGAATAAACACAAAATATACTTTTTAATGTTAGCTGGATTTTAGAATGATTTTTTAGGTCCCCACTAAAAAATTAATGATAAATCTGTCCCCTTTCCAATCCAGATCTAGCTCAGCGTGGAGATAAATTATTCTGTGTCAGTGTTGGTTCATGGATGTGATAGAGCTTTTAGCATTGGTTCTTAACCTTGCTGAAAGGAGGCTGTTAACACCTTAGCTATCAAGTCTGGACTTCATCTGGATACTACAGATTGTGTTTGTATAAACACAAGGAGTCACTGTTGTAACAGAATCAGGCAGTTTTAAAAACAGTGGGAAACCCTGCATTCAAGTTTCTGTTGTTTCTTTGAAGAATTTGTGCTTTTGCAAATGAAATGGGTTTAACCCAAAGCATTGTGTCTTACAGCTCGGGGAAGGTTGGTGAATCCGTATACAGTACAACAACAAAAGAGTGATGACTTATTCAAGTTTGGAAGCCCACCAGTTCTAAAATATGTCTGTTTCTTGAAAATGTTGTACTATCTCCAAAGCTTTCCAAAAGAAGTAAAGTTGCACCTTACTTTGATAAGCAGTTTAAATTGCCTTAAGGTGGTGATTAAAGTACAGAAAAGATTGTGTTTCTCTTTTTTGCTTAAACGATATTTTTAATGAAATTGTTCAGTATTTGGATGCTACAGCAGCCAGAAAACAAACAAACAAACAAACAAAACAGAAACAAAAAATCTTTTAACACTTCATATACTTAACACTTCATATACTGCAAGTGGAACTTTTTTTTTGTTTCCTTTCCAGGTGTCATCAGTGCCAGAATTTGGCCGTATAATAATTTATACTACCAGCCTTCGTGTGGTGAGAACCACTTTTGAAAGATGTGAACTGGTTAGAAAGATCTTTCAAAACCACAGAGTTAAATTTGAAGAAAAAAATATTGCTCTTAACAGTGATTACGGAAAAGAACTAGATGAGAGATGCAGGAAGGTGTGTGAAGTTCCCTCCCTCCCTGTTGTGTTTATTGATGGCCATTACCTTGGGGTAAGTAAAACATGAGACTATGAAGTCTGTAAGAACAGAAGAAAGTCATTATGTTTTTATGAAATCATTTGCAATGCTGGAATGATGGGAACAAAGACAGAGGCCCCTTTGTGGGATGTGTTGTACCCATCCACACTGGTAGGTTTGATGTAAAGACACAACAGAGCTGGAGAGAGGCTTTCAGGAGGGGAGTAAGATGTAGTAATGCAATGTAAGTGATGCTGTGTTTCTAAGAAAAGAATTCATCTTTGTAGTTGAAACCATGGAAATCTAGAGAAATAGATTTTTTTTTTCCTCATGAAAATCTGTGTGTATTATTGACCCAGGAAAATTAACACACAAAACATACCTGTCACTTAGTAATAACTCTGTTGGATATGAGAATGTCTAACAGCTTCGAGTTTAAGAACTTAAACATACACTGAATTTTATATAATGTAGTCTGTATTGGGCAACTATAATCAGTAGAATATTGTTTTAGGTACAGGATTGGTTGATACTTAAAATCTAGCAATAAAACCAGCCTAACTCTGCTCTGTTGTGAGACATAACTCCAAGTAGAAAATTATAATAAAATTTGTACATTGGTACTCTGTGTCTAAAACTGCACCCTTGTATTATGGACAACCTGTTCTTTAGAAATGTGTCTTTCATAAACTGAAAAATCAGAGTTTAAAAGCAAAACAGTCTGGAAAGCAACCAACGAAATTGGTTGGGATCTCAGAAAAGGTATTTGTCTCAAGTGTTGAAGAATTAGCAATTAACACCAACTGCGAGACCATGATTTGTGGAGGCAAACTGTATTTAAACACAGCAGGGTTATTTTGTTGGTATTGCCTAACGCTTTCATTTTTATAAAAGATTTAAATAATGGAATAAAATGCAATCAACAAACAGCATATAATTGGTGCTGGGGCTGCAAAGACACTCAAGCACACATTCTTCCCTTCCTTTCGTGACACTGGCAGGACTCTGCCAAACTCTTAATGCTCTGCTTAGGGCTGGTTTCTCTGAGCAGTCCACTTCACCAGACAACACTAGTACTTGCAGAATGGGCCATGCGCAGGGTATTAGCAGACAGAGAAATTTAGTTCAACGTAGAGACTGCTTTTATCAAATCCATGAAACAGAGATGTCTCCAACCAGCCAACAACAGAAGTCTTTCTTCTAGAAAAGCTTAAAATACACCAGGATTCAGACTAAGATTTTCTTACCCAACTGTCATGTTAAAAAAAATAATAATTAAAAAAACAACACAATGAGTTATGACCAAGTCCAAGAAAATCTCACTGTGATCAATTTTGTCAAAATAAATCATGTAAAATACTGAAATGTATTGACTAAATTATTTGCTAAGCTCTAGCTGATGCCCAATTACAGTCACTTTGGTGTGATGGATGGCCTATTAATTCACTGCCACTTTTTTTTTAGAAGACCATACGAAACCTGTCTTTAACAGATGAGCAACAGTGTAACAAGCAATACAATTTTATTAAAACTATTTAATTATTTTATGAGATATTTAACAGACATATAGGAATGAAGGAAAGTGAATTAGGAAGCTAGATAAATGTGGGAGGGATATCAAACTGTCAAACTACCTGCTGACACCAGTGGATAAAAAAATGAAGAAAGAATGTAGTGTTCTGGTCTACACACATTTATTACAGCATGGAAGCTCCATTCATATTGTTTAAGACAAGAAAAAGTATCTGTTGATCTGGTAAAAAACAAAATTGTCCAAAATCAAATCACTGAGGAAGAGAAATAAGTTGGAGGACAGTTTGCATATGAGGAAGGTTACAAATGTTTTACCAGTCTTTCAGGATCTGGCCATGAAGCAATCACTCCCCAGCTATTTCTATGCCTCACGGATGTGACACCTTAAGAAAACAACTTGTCAGGGACTCACAGGGCTGCAAGCTGGCTGCATCCTTCAATGGGCTTGTGTTTCAGCAAAATGTGATTGAGAACTCACACAGAATTTGGTCTCACTGGTAACAGTGGACATTTCTGTAATGGCTTTTATGATAATTATATTCTGATATGCAATCATAAAACAGAAATCCACAAGGCTGGTGTGTCAGTAAATTAAACATGCAATATTTTCTCTCTCTTACTCTCTCTCTCTCTTTTTAATTTTGAATATTTATTTCCTGGCAAATCCCTCCCTAAAGGAGATCGCATGTAGCAATACAAAAGAGAATCTCTATTGAGCCAGGCACCTTTCAATGAGTCATAGGATAAAAAAACACCCTAATTAAAATATGAAGAGTTTTGAAAAGGGACAAGATTATTTTTAATGAGATAAATGTAACAAAAGCACCAGAACACAGCATATGTGCATGTGACATAGTACACAGTATTCGAGCTGCTCAGAAATCCTGACAGGGTTGCAAGAGTACTGCAAGCTGTGTGGATAAATCTTCACAATACTGTGGAATTTATCATTGCCTACACAGGGGGAATGAGACAAATCAGCTACTTGGGCAAAAGCAATAGAAAAATCATATTTAGTCCCTGTCAAGTAAAGTCCTGTGTGCTGCAGTACAGCAAGTTTTTTAATCTTTTCATTTCTTTCAGGATTGAATCATTGTATTTTTGACACACGCTGTCTAAATATCAGTCTTTCAGGAAATTTCAGGTTCTTTCTGCAACATGTTCCTTACCATTTGATACAATACCACCCCCACCCCCCTTCCCTTTTCACCTGAGGCTGTCTCCATCTCTCCATCTGAAATGGAATTATGCCATCTGCTGGGGCGCCAAAGCAGAATAAAAAATAATTTCCAGAAAGCAGAATGCAATGCAGAAATAAATTAATAAATAAAAAAGGAACATTCTCTTACTCGTACAAAGGAACCCAGGACTGCTAAAGATTTATGTTATGTAAAAGCCCACCTTACTGGAAAAGAGATGCAGATAAAAAAGACAGAGCCATCCCTAATATACATATTAGCTCATTATAGATATTAATACATAATGCACTATATTTTAAAAATAAATTTGTTTATGTATCACTTTAAGCATATGACTAAATTCCAGTATTCAGCTGCCTTTCACAGAATCACAGAATGGCCAAGGCTTGAAGGGACCTCTGAAGATCCTCTAGTCCAACCCCCCTGCCAAGCTGGATCACCTAAAGCGCATTGCACAGGATGGCATCCAGGCAGGTTTTGAATATCCCCAGAGAAGGAGACTCCACAACCTCTCTGGGCAACTTGTCCCAGTGCTCTGTCACCCTCACAGTAAAGAAGTGACCCCTCTCATATTCAGTTGGAACCTCCTGTGCTTCAGTTTGTGTCCATTGCCTCTTGTCCTGTCACTGGGCACAACTGAGAAGAGACTGGATCCATCCTCTTGACACCCTCCCCTCATATATTTATGCACATTGAGTGGTGTCCCCCCAGTCTTCCCTTTTGCAGGCTAAACAGGCCCAGTTCTCTCATCCTGTCCTTGTACGACAGGTGCTCCAGTCCCCTAATCATCTTCATAGCTCTCCTCTGGACTCACTCCAGTAGTTCCATGTCCCTCTGGTACTGAGGAGCCCAGAACTGAACACAATACTCCACGTGCGGCCTCACCAGGCCTGAGTAGAGGGGGGGGGAATCACCTGCCTTGACCTGCTGGCAACACTTTTCCTAATGCACCCCAGGATACTGTTCTTCTTGTCCACAAGGGCACACTGCTGGCTCATGGTCAGCCTGCTGTCCCCCAGGACTCCCAGATCCCTCTCTGCAGAGCTGCTCTCCAGCAGGCCAGCCCCCAGCCTGTACTGGTGCTTGGGGTTATTCCTCCTTAGGTGCAAGACCCTGTACTTTTCCTTGTTGAACTCCGTGAGGTTCCTCTTGGCCCAACTCTCCAGCCTGTCCAGGTCCCTCTGAATGGCAGCACAGACCTCTGGGGCATCAGCCATTCCTCCTCTCAAACTTACTCAAAACATTTTCAAATATGTACATTGTCTTTCATGAAGAAACAACTTCCTACTTAGTCTTGTAATGAATCTACAATGGCATGAGTTTTACAGTCAAAATATTCTGACTCATTGGTTATGACCATTTACTAAGAATGATAAAGTTATTTTTGTAATTAACTTTAGAAAATACCTGTGTAAATTCTATTTCTTTATGAAAATATTAACAGTTTCCTTTTTGCCTTTTTTCCAGTGGTCAATTATGATTAGTAGTTCTCCATTGCCTTATTGTTTTGCTAGAGTAAACACATTTTCCTGACCTTCACTTGATGGGGTAAATATCTGCTCTGTGGCAATAAAGCTATGATATAATTATTTCATTCAGTCATCTGCTTCCTCTGTTTTGCAGTTTAACATTTCAGGAACAGCAGGGTTTAATTGCATGTCCTCTTAATACAAAATCTGATAGCTCTTTGCATATCAAATCTAACATTTCTTATGCTACAGTCACACTTTTCTCAGTTTATTGGCAGATTTCCAGGCATTTAATCAAATTCCTTACAAGTCCACAACAGATACTTGGGCTTGTCTATTTCCTGCAAACCCAACTCTCTCACATGGTGGTCAAGGTTGGTTTCCAACCCACTCTCATTTAATATTTCAGTGCTGTATTAATTTTTCTCTGAATGTAGGGAATGATGCAAAAGAGAGTCTGCTTCCCCAAATCAGCAGGCAGTCTAGTACAGCCAAATGCAGGACATTTGCATACAAATGTGTACATCTAGGTGCATTCCTTGATGAGGAATTACATCATGAAAATAGTAACAGGTTACATTCATGGTGGATTATCCACAAGCTGGTTCACTAACAAGACAGAGCTGGAGCAGTAGAAAATTTACTGGACTTGTCCTAGTTCTGCAGATAGTGGGACCATGCCTGAAATATGATGCTAATTGCTAAATATCTCAAGGGAAAATTGGGAAATATTTTGAAGCAAAAAAATAATTTAGAAAACCTGTTGAATGATTTAGCGAAGTCTGTAGCATTAACAGGTGGGTGCTTTGAACCTTAACCTGGTTAACAAAATGTTTGTGTTTGGAGGGACAGATTCTTAACTTTTTCACATCCCTTTATGGGTAATTGTGGACAGAACACAATCTAAGAATAAAAAGAAAGGTGTCAATTTTTGGTCAGAGAGCAGCTATTGGACATATTTTACAGGTGCTTTCATTATTCTATTAATTGCAGGCACTGAGAATTAAGATTCACAGATCTAAAGGGTAGATTAACCTCTGCAAAGTATCTTTTATTCAAATTTCACTTGAGGCAGACATTAATCACAGAAGACATACTTAAAAATGTTGATAGACATTTAGAACTTTGGTTTTTAATTTTAAAGCTATAATAATAAGACTTTCCACTTTGGAAATAACACAGCTAGCTGATGAATGTCATCTGAAATATAAATCCTTTGAAATATCAATCTATAATGGGAAACCTGTCAGATTTTTAATTACAGGGCTGCAAAAGCCAGTCAGCATTACAGTGCAGTACCATTGTATCACAGAGCAGAAGTCATAGGAATGCTTTTTGCCAGCTGTTGCCACGGAGAAGAGATCCCTGTCTAAATGAGGGCAAATCAGGGTTTGTCCAGATTAGGGAATTTGCAGTGCCGCAATTACATCAATAAAGCTCCAAATACTTAATGTTTTTGCCTAGCACAGGCAGTACAAGCTCTGTCTTAAGCCACTGCAGAGCATTCAAGCCCAGAGCTAATACCCTGTGGTTCCTGGCAAGCCCTTGCTTTTCTGTGCCAGTCACTCCTGTTGCCCATTCTGTGTGAAAATAGAGACAGATTAGAGGGCAAGTGTGAAGGAGGCTGGTCAACTGCTAAAAGCTTCTTTGCTGGGGACACAGAGGGATGTGACGCATATGCTGAAGCTGGTATACACTGTGCCCATGATATTAATAGATTTCAATAGAGGAAGATTCAGCACAAGCAATGCTAGCTGATCTGAATCGCCTGTCATCTTCCACATAATTAAACACAAATAATTACCTTGTAAATATTATTATTATTATTATTATTTAATATCTTTGAAAGTGTAGCACTGAAGGAGTAGCATTCACTGCAGAAGTTACACTCATATCCACTAAAATATTAATACCTTGCTTTTTAAGAGAAATGCAGTGCTGTGATTACAAACATCTCTGAACAAGAAACATGAACATTGTAAAGAAGTCAGCAAGGGGCCTACGTAGTATATCACCATACACAGAGTCAAAAGTGTTTTTCTTTGTAGAAAGCCACGGCTAAAGGACCTTGCAGAGGGAAACCAACCTCACTAGGGTGTCATGCAAAATCCCTTGCAACATTTCTGTGCCCCTTGGCTGATGTTTGTGTTACACACTGAAGTGGTTCTGTACCCTGTGCTCAGCTATTGGTAGAGCTGTGGGCTTCTTCCCTTCTCCCTGCTGTGCACCTTGATAGAAGCTCCATCCAAATGCTAGCTGTGTGTGTGTGTTGGGTCCCTGGGTCCCTCTGGGGCTGGTCTGTGACCATGGCTTTACAAGACAAAAAAGGGATACTGGAAAGATGATGCAACATAGGAAGTCTCTAGCAAGGCACTAGTCTGACACATGTTACTGATGTATATGCTCCCTGGCATCCCTTCCTGTACCTCCACATGATGGGGAGAATGGTGCTGGTGAGGAGCAGGAACTGAGAGCCCCTCAGGGCCCTGCAGATGGACATGTCTTAGTAGACATGAGCTGGGTCAAATCTTAGTAGTTTGCCAGCTTTCCACTTTCAGCATCCCACCACACCTCCCAGCTCATGTGGGGTCTACAAAAGATGAATTTTAGCAGTCTGGGCATTCAGTTACCTGAAAAATGGGACAATGAGATGTCATGGAGCCACCACTTGTGGCCAATTTTCCACAGCAGTGAGTATGCACAAGACAGTGAGGTGAGAACATAGGTCTTAGCTCTGCTGTAAGCTTGCTTCATGACTGTGCAATTCCTTCTGTCTATGCCTGTTTCCTTACCTTTTGTAAATTTCTTCTGAACCACTGATTAAAAATGCTTGTAAGCATTCAGTAATATTTAGTAATCAGTATATTTGGCTATATAACTGAAGCATAAGCATTCAAATGTGTTCCTCTAACTACAGAGGGAGAAGAAATTAAATTAATTAAAGAAAAGGGAAAAAGAGATTTACATCATCTTTGACAGTTTTGTTTTGTCTGCAATAATCTCTCAGCCTTTACTTTCAGAGGGAAAAAGAACTACTTGAGTGCTGTCTTGGTTCAGATCACAGAACCCCTCAGAGGCCTAATGTACTCAGACTAAATTATTATTATTCATTGTTGTGTCTGACTTTAATGTTGTTATGGTATTTTCATTACCCTTTTTCTCCTTCTGTTATACATTAGGCATATTATATCTTAATTCAATGCTCAACTGCTATAATACTTGAAATAAAATTTCCTCCTCTCATTTAGTTGCAGTCTCTTATGTGTTTTATATTTATATAATTGTGATTTTTGACATAGTAACTAGACATATTTTTTATTCTGTCAGGAACCACACCCTGTAAAATAAAGTAAACACAACCAGAATTTCCAAGCCATGTCATCTTTTACAAAGGGGAAATGCAATATGACATCTGATAACTAACCTCAAACAGTTCTACCACAACAACGATTAGATTCTTTCCTTCTAGGTTTCCTAATGTTGACCTAATTACAAAATGCTTAATGTGAGTCAAATTTGTCCTCAGCTTGTTTAAATTTTCAAGAACAAATCTTCTAAACATCTCTACTTTTCACGTTAAACTGGCTGACCTTTTTCTTCTTCTTACTAATAGGGTGCTGAGAAAATTTTGTTAATGAATGAATCTGGGGAACTGCAGGATCTCTTAACCAAAATTGAGGTAACTATTTCTGCAAATAATCACAGTGAATGTACATTGAATACATGCAATTGAGAACATTTTTCTGAATGGATTCCCTTTCTTCTGTTATCTTTCTTGTTATCTGTCTTGTGTGGATGCTGACCCACTTTCTTTGTGCCACAGTGAACATGCTGAGATGTTCATGCACATCTCCTACATTCTGGTTAGACCTGAAAGTGGACATCTAGAAAATCTGGGCAAAGTTGGAAGTTTTCAGTCACACCAATTTACACAAAATTACACAGACCTCACATTACAGATTGTTATGCCTTTCTCCAGCTCTTAGTTTGCCTTGTTAGTTCAAGTACTTTGGGGCTTATTTGTCTTTAGTTTTGAACATTTGATATACTCTCCCTGAGGACACTCGGTCTCAGTGCAAGACTGCTCCAATTTGTGCATTCTTAGCTATCTTACTTAGCTTTCTACATGAAAAGGTTGCTATTTATAAGCATAAGAAGTAATAACGAATTGAACGATTACAATATTATCTTAAAAAGTTGAGATTAATTACAATAATGTCCAATGAAGTAAACTTTCATCTTAAATTATGAATGACGTACACTCTCAAGATAGAAGAGAACAAAAACATTACATTAAATTCTTCTAAACATTGTCCCTGGAGAAGTTAATAGTAAAAGGAATTGTATGTCCAGTGAAGAAGAATGGCAAATTTATGAACTACAGTACAAAACAAACAAACAAATAATAAAAAATCCAATACTATTATACTGAATTTCTATTTGTTTTGTCCCTCAAAAATTTCCCATATAACTTTGGTCTTTGTTTGACAGATTTATATACTGCATAATCTGTTAGTCATGCTGTGTCTTCTACTAACCTATAAGGATAAGCTAATGGACAAACATACCAAGCACATGGCAAGAAAGATTAATGGAAATGTTTTGCAAATCTATTCAGAAAAAATCTATCTTAGAGAGATTTGCACTACAGCTCCTGTGCACCAGCCCAAATACTGTTGTAGCAACAGTACTGACAAGTGAAATAAGTAGAAAGCTACTACTACATTACAATAAAGATTCAGAACAGAAAGACACACCAACATGACAGCAGCAGCAAGTATGATGCTGCAGGTGCATCATACCTCTGTTAGAGCCTATAGTATCCTCACTACAACAACCCACAAACCCTGCTGGGCCATACTGTGCGCTTTGAAATCTGCATTTCACCTAATCAAACCCATGTGAAAATAAGTTTTTGTAGACTATGAGTCAGATTTTCTGCTACATCAAACTGACATGGACTTCAAAGCAGCTGAAATGACTTACATCAGCTAAGACTCTTTCCTTTCATCTTATACTCTTTTTTTTTTTTTTTTTTTTTTTTTTTTTTAATGTTATCTAAGTTGTCAACAGATGAATGCTGGTTTTAATAGCTTTGCAGCAATCTCTTCAGTTTTCTCAATGATGCTTAAAAAAGGGCTATGTTAGTTCTACATATTTAGTATGCTTTGGTAACAATTTTTGACTAATATTTTCAGTGGTGTATGATTCCTCAGAGCAACACTAACAGGAATTTTATGGATTACCCTTCTTCCTTTACAAATAAATCTATAAAGTCTTTACTCAACAGTACAATATTAAAGCTAAATATCTGTGCTGTGGTAAGTACTGGTCTACTTTTCATTTATCTGGTACAGAACTTTCAAGCAACCACTAAATAAATTAGCAATATTTTCAGTAACTGTAACTTAAAATGTCTTCAAAATATCTTCCTGTGTTCTCAATCATCTTTAATCCTTCACAAAGTAGAGTAAAACTACTGTTTTACTCATGAAATAAGAAAATTGAGGGAGCCCAAGTATTTCCTGCAGCAGTTTTCTCCAGGTATAACTGCTGAATGTTAATGATCTTTCTCTTTCCTACTTAAAGCTTCAGCATTCTACACCCGTAAATTTGAATACATCACTTATTTCCTAAAGCACTCCTTGTCAGAAACTATGAATTGCTTTTTTTTTTGATATGATCAGCTCTAACTGTAATAGGAACAACATATTCATCATGAGCATGTACAAATGATAAAAGTACTCATATCTTAACATATAACATAGAAAAATATAACATCAACATAAACTGCCTGGAGTTCAGAATCAATCAATTGCAATACCTATTAGAATTGATCTAGGTCTAAGACTACATCAGTGTAATGTATGCAAGGATCACTTAGCCAGCTCTTTCGACAACTATCAACACAGGCTTCTGAGGTGTAATGTGACTGATGATCCCACAGTGAGCATCTCTAACCATTGCATGTGGGTCCATACAGAGGCATCTGTGTGGGTCATCTGTGATGGTATACCTTGGGGTGGGGAAGTGGATGTTTCTCACGACAGAAACCTAAATGTGTTTCTGAGAAGCTGTTCTGGAACCTTCTTTGTCCTAGAGATATGACTGTTGAGAAGGTAACATTGTGATCTTTCTTACTTTCTTCTTTGAACAGAGAGTCCAGCACCCTCACGAGTGCCTCTCTTGTGGGGGCTTTGGATTCCTTCCGTGCTCAGTGTGCCATGGGAGCAAGATGTCTGTGTTTCGGAACTGCTTTACGGACTCATTCAAAGCCCTCAAGTGTACTGCTTGCAATGAGAATGGGCTACAGCGCTGCAGGAGCTGTGCAGGCTAAGAATGGCATTTCCACATGTGCAAACTCATTTTACTGTACTGCAGCAGTTTGTAATATGATTTTTTTTTTTTTTAAACGAATCTGTTTATCTAATTCAGTCAATAAAAATCAATTTATAGTATACTTCTGCTGGTTTGATTATTGAAGCCATTTAAACATTACCATATCATGAATCTTGAAGTGTATGTTTCTACAGTCTTTATAGAGAGATTTGTTGTCTACTGAATGTATGGTATTATCAGCCACTTGGGTGTGAATTCTTCCTTTTTTTTTTTTTTTTTTCCATACAGAACAATGAATAATAGTGATCTAGTGAGAACACATGATAGCTTTATAAATTGCATAGACATTTCTGATCAGGCTGCTGTTATGTTTCAAGGGCTGGTCTATGCCCTAAGTGTGGCTTGCAAAAAATTCTCTTCCGAAACTTTGTTTCTTGATTTCCCTTATCTGAATCAACAAAAAAAGAACTTTTCCTCCACTTTTATTCCACTTGCTATATCCAGAGTTAGTAGTTAGTGATGAGCTGGAGAAGTTGGACTAACATATTTTTGAACTTTTGAATATAAAAGACTTATGTGTATTCTATGAGATATTAAATGTGCAGGCTTGAAAGTGCTATAAGAACCTACTGCTCTTCTAGCTTCTATAGTGAGGCTCAGAGGGAGCATCTGGATCTTCTGCATAACATGAGAGAGATTATATTTTCTAAAAAGAACATCCAAAAAACTTAGCAACACCACAGCTATAAAACTGAATTGTGGATGTGTTTAACTGAGTGTATGTGGGAGAAATTAAAAAAAAAAGAAAAAAAAAGAAAGAAATAAAAGAAAATATGGTTCCCTTTACAGTTCCCTTCTTGTGTTTAATACCATCCTGTAACCTTTATTTCTGGCTAATATTGCAGTCCACACTGGTGTAGTAGGGAATGAAATATAACACAAAGCAGAATACTGATTCTTAGAACCATCATTTCTCTTGCATGAAACCTTATTTTTTTAAGATGTTAACATATTGTGGCTCTAGGGGGTGAGAGTATTCATGGTAGCTAACACCAGACCTCACATGACATAAACAAATGTGTTCTTGAGGGAGATTATTTTTGAAGAGAATGCTAGTGTATTTGTGATTTTTTAATTCCACAGTCTTTATCCTGGATAGACATTTACCTGATGGCATAGATCATGTCACCATTCTTCCACTGAAGTACTACATGGCTAAATTGTTATAACGGATAAGAGTATGGTAAAAATTTTCATTGAAACTAAATTCTTCATCACTCTGGAATAAGGGTTTGAAGCTGTTTTCCTCACCTCTCAGGTGATGAGAGAAATCATTCTCTTAAAAGTGAGATGAATAAATTAAATCCAGTTCATTCCATGGCCCAGGGATAATGTAAGAAACCTAGAGAGACTATCCAAGCCTAGGCACTACTGTTAGAAGTAACAGAGACATTTCACTCCTACAAGCAAAGATGAGGTAGAACTATTATGGATTTTTGATGAAAGCAAAATGTCATGTTTTTTAGAATATTTTTAAGAAACCAGAAGATAACATTATAAAACCCCAGGACAAGTAATGATCATAAGTAGAGAATTCCTCAGGCACTATTTTTTCAAGAAGTCTATGAAAATTTTCCAGTACTAGAAATGCTCTTGTGTATTTTTTTCTTTTCTTTTGTCATCAGATGAATTACCAGCCTTTTCTCTCCAGCTATATTTTCCTTGTAACAGCCTGAATGAAAACCAAAACCAGATAATAATTTGTTGCAAGAGGATGCTTTTACTACATGGTTTGCTGTCTTTGCTAGAGCTTTAGGTCTGGTTCCTCAGCTCACTCCAATCAACCTAGAAGCACTGAAGTCAATGAAGACAAGATTTCCAAGATTTCCAAGGCAAGTCCAGGAGCCAGAAAAAGTCAACAGCAAGAGCATCATTTCAGGGGTATGATACTTTCTGGTGTAAGAGATGTATTGGGCAGCAAGTAATATGACTTTTATGCCAGTATGAGAACAGAGAAGGAATGTATTTCTGTTCTGATTAGAATTAGCATAGCATCTTTGATTCCAAGGAGTTAACAATAGTCTCCTCTGATATAACAAATAAGACTCAGTTGCATCTTTGCACAGGAAATTTTCTTTTTTAAAACACGTCAAGCTTGTTTCTGGCCCCCTGCTACACTGAGGTAAGGAACCATGTAGATGTTCTTTGGCTGACAGCTCAGCATATTAACATATATGAGAGCAAGTAACAGAATAAGGTAATCCCTAGGCTGTCTGTATTGCAAAAATAATCTTTTTTAATCCTGAGAAAGGTAAAGGTTTGGAGTTTTCAGTCCTGTAGCCTCCATCATGTTTTCCAGTGGCTTTGCATCCCTCATACTGATATGCTACAGCCATCAGGTGGCCTGGCTTTACCAGGATTCATGCCACAACATCATGTTTTGATTTGGTCTAGCTTATCCTTTACTAGTGAAACACTGTGAAAAACTGAATTACCAAATTAACTCTGTACAGTACATAGTATAAATGTCTCTTAAAATAATGCATTGTATCTTGAAACCCTCCATGTTTTTCACTCTGTGAGTTAAATTTTTGCATGCAGGAAATCATAATTATGCATGAAAAGAGTCTGATAGGTCTTTGTACTGGGTCTGGCTGGGATGGAGTTAACTTTCCCTGAATCAGTCCATACAGTGCTGTTCTCTGCACTTGTAGCTAGAACAGCACTGGTATCACACCAGTGTTGTGTCTATTGCTGAGCAATACTGACACAGCATCAGGATTCCCTCTAATACCCCCAGAGCCAGCAGGCTGGTGGGGAGCAAGAGGTGAGGAAAGAACACCCACAGGCAGCTAACCTAAACCAACCAATGGGATATTCTATACCATGTGGCATCACACTCAATCATAGAAGGTGGAAAAAGGAAGAAGGGGGGGGGAATGAACTCCTGTGAAAATGTCTGTCCTCCTGAACTATGTTGAGGCCCTGTTTCAAGGATGTGGTCAAACATTGCTTGTTGGTGGGAAGTAGACAGTAATTCCTTTCCTCTGCACTTTCAAGCAGCCTTTGTTTGACTTTTTCCCTTTCCCCTTTCCTTTGTTCCTTTAGTTAAATTATTTAATTAATTATAAATTTCCCTTAATAGTTATTTTTTCTTTAATTAAATTATCCTTATCTCAACCCATGAGTTGTTCTTTTCCTTTTCTTCTTCCCCTTCTCTTCTGAGGAGAGGGAGTGAGGGGTTGTGATGGAGTGATGGAGTTCAGCTGCCCATCTGGGTTAAACCACAACAATCTTGAAAGATGAGAAACTAATTCTGCTGTAAGTAAACTTGTATTTGAAGAAAGATTTCTACTTTTGATGTCAGTGACACATGAAAAAACAATCAACAAATTCCTGAGAGGTTTGTGTTTTTATTAATGAAAGTAAGAAATGAATTTTACTGAGTTGGTTTTCACAGTTTTTGTGAGAAAATTCATAATGGTAGACACTTTGGTTACTTTTTCCAGCTATTGCCTTTTTATTATTGCATTAAATTTAACTTTATTCACTTAGCCTTAGATACATTATTTGACCACAAAAGCATTCAACAGGGAACATTTATGCCCTAAATAATTTATGAAGGAGAAGAATTTAGATTGCATAGCTTACTTTAAATAATTTAGAGATGATAGTAAAAGACATTGTAATCCAACAATAATTTGAAAAGTAGAAATTATTAGAAATAAATCTTTATATTTAATCCAATTTTTCTTCCTTCTTCCATTAATTTGCTTAGGGGAGATGAATCAGGAAATAATTACATTAGACGGAAAGGGCTGTAAAAAAACTTGCAGATTAAGCTTCTTCTAGCTTATCAACTCTACTTTGAAAAGTTGCTTTAGAATGTGTTAGAAGAATTATGAAATCCAATAAGTTCTCCATTCAAGAAGATCCACACTATAATACAACATATAATGCCTGCCATTTTTCTCTTTTTGAGGTCTCCTAATTTTTCCCCTGAAGGAAGGATCATCTTCTTGAAAGCAAAGGTTTATTTAAAAAAAAAAATAAATAAATAAATAAATTAGACATTAAGTACAAGAAAAGTTATTATAGTTTACTGACCTGAAATTTGAAAGTATATATAAAGTAAATATTTTTCAGGGCAATGTCTTCTAGTAGGTGACAAAGAGTTATACTTTGATATGGAGGAAAAAAGCAGTTGTGAGTTCTCAAAACGAGCAAGGATTTTATGATCACTCAGAAAGGCTGACTGTAGCTGTTATTTTTATTATTGATCACGATCTGTTCAAAATAAACAAATAATGATCAGTAGAAAATCATCAAATCATCATTTAAATGTCAAGATTCATAAAACTATCACTTAAAATTTGCTGGTTTATCACATTAAATCTGGGGGATACCCTCTTGACTGTCAAATACAAAAGAAATTCCCTTCTAATCTCAGTTCAGTTAAATTATGAATGTGTGAGGATGACAAATCTATGAAGCATCATCTAAATCTGAGTACTTTGTTTTATTCTAGCTTCAAGACAACTGGACTTTAAAGTTCTTTAGTCTTACCACAAAAGTTCATTTGTGCATTAGTTTTCCTCATCCAAAGACAACTGGGAATAGCACAGTAAGAGAGAGATATTATACTTCAACAAAATCCACCAGATCTGTGGGATGATGTATTTATGCTAAAGCTTATGCATCAATAGGGCTGAACTGGCAACTTGCGCTTTCTACTGCCTCAGGGGTCTAGTCAGACAGACAGGACATAAAATCAATACCTCAGTCTGCACAGTTATAGGACTCAGCAAAAACTTGTCTTTTTATTTTTTTTATTTTTAAATATAAGCACAAATATAATAAGCAGTCATCGTCATTACTCATGTCTTTGGGATATTGCAATCATTGCATTTAGTATTATAGGAAAATCATGCTGCCTCTCATTGCAGACTGATGGTAATATACAGTAAGTTTTGCCTGTCATCATAATCACAAAAAAATTTCCATGTATGCTATCAAACAATAAAACTGCATTTTTAAACATAAGTAGAATATTATTATTGTTATTCCATACATTGTTAAGATCTCAGGAATA